ATATATATATATATATATATATATATATATATATATATATATATATATAGTTTATTTAAGATAAAATACAACTATAACCATATTTTGGGACGTAACGAGTAACGTCACACATAACCAGCCAATCAAATTCGTGGCGCAGGAGTCGCTACGTAAAAACATGGCGGATAAAGAGGAAGAAGTCAGCTTTAAAAAGGTATGAGCGGGAGGATTCTTCATAAATTCCATTTTATATTGAATAGTTTTCTGTTGAATCTGAACATAAACAAGTCTTGCCTCATACCTCTGGATTTTGCTTTCGTTTCGAGCTCTTCCTCTTCCAAACCCAACCCTGTAAAGCGTTCCCTGTTTAACTTAAACCAAACAAAAAGCAAATATGCTGGCATTGAGCTTTGTATTTTGTAACGCCGAATTGACGAGCATTTCCTAAACACTTAAAAAAAAGTATTTTCTATGCATTTCTGTTTTTGATACAAATTGGAAACTTCGGTGATATTTAAAAGAATGCACTTTTCAAGGCTAGTTTGGTTTAATAGAGACAAGCGAGCGCGTGTCTTAATGTTTGCTTATGATTCACTCACTTATGCAAAACCAATAAATTATAAGTCACTTCTGACTTAGAAAAAAGTTGCTCAACTTATTTTAGCATTTAGATGGTTGCAGTATGTTGCATTTATGATACAGTTCTCTGCAAAGGGAGGATCAAGAAAGCAATTTGTCACACACAAAGCTTAAAATTTTTCATTATAGATAAAAAATGTTATTTAAATCATTCTAATTGTATGTATTCCCATACCATCAGTGATGAAAATAAAATTAATTTAAAGTAGTCAATTAATAATTATAGTATCTGCAATCTAGAAGTAGAACTATCACCAAAATGTAGTCTGATTGAAGCATGCAAAAAATATATATTTATACTAAATATTTAAGTGTCAGCACTAAATGCTGTCAAGCAACTGCTCCATACGAGCTCCAATAAAATCAGCAAAAATTATCTGCATTCTCTATGACATCAAGACACTCTTCATTTTTTGTAAAATGATCCCTGAAATGTCCAGAAAACAGGAAAGTCTTTAGAATGTCATTGTATGACAAAGACACACATGAATGGTGTTTTTAAAGTAAGTTTGGCTCTCTTTATTAGAGAAAATAAAGGATGCAAACAGTGAGTCCACTCACTGTCAAGTGAATGTGGTATTTTTTATTTTTCTGTTGCTTTCAAAGCCCCCGCTCGTTATGAAATGATCCCTTAATACTGATTCCTCAAAAATATATAGACAGAAGATGCTAGAAATCTAAGAATTGAGCAAAAAAACCCCTGCCTTATAACAGAATTTGTTCGCTCGTATTGATTCTTAGTATTTTATATTATCATTATTTAAACATTACACGGCCATTTATATTGTCTAGTACTACAGTTTATTAAATAAATGATCATTAGCTCAGTTTTAACAATCAATAGAACCACAGTAATCATCATGCTCATTACCATACGATTCTCAGGTGTCAATTCAAATATAAAGGACTGATGTGTGAAGTGTGCAAGTGACACAAACCTTATGTCTGAAGCTCTCCTTTTAATACAAACCAAATATATTAAGGTGCTGCATTTTCATTTGCAATGCTCAATACATGTAAAACAGTAATGTATTTCTGTTAAATTGAATGTATTATGTATGAATAATATGCTATGTCTTGCAAAAGACTGCAGGATTCCCCATTGTGCCAGATAGGATTGTTGTGAGATTTCTATGCCAAAGGAACTATGATAGGAAGCATACATGCTCCCTTTCCTACCTCCTTCCTTACTACCAGCATTATTCAGACTGCACTTATCATGGTGAACTCTGATGCACTTCCACTTTAGCTAAAGAGTCCTTAGGTATTTAATTAGTTTGAATCGAATAATGACGGCAGTGTGAAAGTTCACCATCTTCTCTGAAAGGTCACACTTTTTTGTAGAAAGCAAATCCTTCAGTGAGGTTTCTTATTTATGCTTATTATTTACTTGCGCTTAACTTTCCCTTCATAGGCTTAAATACAATTATTTTTCATGCCATCAGCTGTAGTAGCTCAGCCTATATATAGGGTATGCATTTCTTTTTTGTATTTTAGGTCATTTGTGTTATATATTGTCTTATCTGATTAATTAAAGGTTAGATGAAAATTAGTGAAAGTAGTTGATTTTGACCTATCAGCCATAATAAGGTAACATTCTATTTTAGATTTTCTGAAACACTTTGTTTTGGTTTCAAAGTGTCGTAAATTAACTTCCTGTCATAAACTTTTAAAAACAAGAAACATCAACCTGACCTATATTATTCTGTCAGGGTTTGGGTAAACTAAATAAAAAAACTGTAATAAATATGTTTTAACTGATAATCTGATTAGGTAGATGCAATGTTGGTCTCCTTCATGCGGTCTTGTGCTGTTTTACTTCCCACAGCAAACAGTGACCAAACTCCTGTGCAGTTTCTTTAAAGAGGACAAAACCAAACGTAAGTTTTAAGTTCATATTCTTTCTTTGTTTTAGAGTTCCAGTTGCATGACTGAACTGAATAAATCTTACTTTGTGTTACAGTAAGTAGTGATGCTACACTGCTCATGATGGATATGCTGAGAATATTTGTGCAAGGTAATAATTTTTCTAGTCTTCATTACATGATGAGCTGCTGTGCTTATATTAAGCTTCGCAGCAATAAAAGTATATGTATATTTTTTTCTTTATCCCAAGAGGCTGCTTTGAGATCGCTTAAACAGGCCGAATCTGAGGACTGCAACCAAGTGGAGCTTGAGCATTTTGAAAAGATCCTGCCACAGCTGGTATGTTGCTCAGCAGGTTTCCTATTCTTGTAGAATAAAGTGTTAATAAATAAAGCCATTGTTGCTTCTACTAAAAGCTTATTTAACCTATGAATGAGAACTGGTTTTATCCTAGCGAGTCATATTTCAAAATGTGTAAAAACAACCAAAAATGGTGAAATTAGGCCAAATTGATTAAGATTCCAATTAAATGAACTGGACATATTATGATAAACTGATGTGGACTAAATTACATTAGCATGTCACCAATCCATCTTCAATCCAAAAGTTCAGTTTAAAACTGTAGTTTTAGAATAAAAGGAGATTTTATTCATTCAGTTGTCTGATTTCTTTTTCCATTTCAGCTTCTGGATTTCTAGGAGAGCCACAAGATGGAGCCAGAGGGCTGCTAACATGTTCCTAAAAGCTTTTTGAGATTTCATTTTACTGAGTATAAATAGAATTTGCCCCCAAAACTTAATTCATATTAATATTGCGTGTCATGTTTTTATTTCATTTATTTTGTGATTTAAAAAAATAAATATAAAAAAAAACACAAGAGTGCTGTCCAAACACAACCACCATATAAGGGCCACCTGTGCTCATCTATGGAACAACAGGTGCTTCCAGCATGCTCTGTGGCGCCCTTCATCAAAGCCTCCAGGAGCAGTTGGAAGCAATTACAGTAATAAGGGGAGCAGCCAGTCCCTTAGATGATGACAAGTGCCAGGAAAAAAGGAGTACCCCCTCCGGCCACTTTGAAGTTCCCTTTTGCTGTCCTGCGATGTTTGGTTAGAGGTAGGGGGAAGGGCAAAGGGGACCTCTGGCACAGGGAGGAAAGTTGAATGTTTGTGTGTGTGTGTGCATGTGTTAACCAAACATGGCCAAAGACCACACGCATAGACATTCTGTTTGAAAGGAAACATAACAAAACACATCGGAACATGGTCCAAGAGGAGCAGGGTGTAATTCTGAAGGTAAATAAACAAAACGGGCAAGTAGTAGAGGTGTTCTTTGCTTTCATCACAGGAGGGGAGGGGGGGTTCTGGGCCTACCAGAGAGAGGCTTTTGTAGGGTTTTTCAAACCCAAGTGGCTCGTATATTTTTCCAGCAGCGTGTGTTAGACCCAAGTATCTTTACTGTGAGTCAGCATAGCTGTACAACACCTCACTCTTTATTTGTGTGCTTCTTGGGTGACTCATTGCGCTCACGTACAGCTGGAAGCAACTTAAGTGAAAGTCAAGAATCCAGGGTCTGGTAGGTGTCCAAGGACATAGCACTGGGGGTTTGACCCAGAACCTTTGATAATTCAAAAGGCCCAGATTGGATTAGTGTTTCCCAGGTGTGATTTCAAGAGAACACTGTCAGAAAGAGTTGTGCTTGGGTTGAGTGATGTGAAATTTTAGAGTAATAGTATCAGATCTACCAGGACAGTGACACCATTTTTGTTCAATAAAAGAAATTTTTTATTCCTTTGGAAAGCCCCCATAATTAAAACCCTCCTATGCCACAACTCTCAGATTTTAGGATCTAGAAATGATTTTCTGCATTGGATTGTCATGCCCAGATCTGGAAAATGCTTTTACTATTACTGTTGTACATGATGCTTTTTATTTCATGAAGAATTCTAATTTGTTAGACAATCTCCAAACCTAGTCTTCTTTATTAGCTTGTTGAACTTTTTAAAGTAATTTGCTCTGATACCGTTACTCTGGCAGATGATGGCAAAAGATATCAGATGCACACAGATCTCCACAACAGAAATATAAGACACTGAAGAAGGTGTTCAAGCTTCCTTAAGAAGAACAACCTGGTCTGTCTCTTAACATTAGCATCTGCTGTCCAGTTTGTTGTCAATTATTATTTCTGGTATATTTGTTCCAATATGCTGTATGACCATTCATACAGCATATTGGAACAAATTATATACTAAAGCAGCTTTATTAAACCTGCAAAAATGGTTATGATAAAGAGTGACTGGTTGAGTAGTTAAGTGTAATGAAAAAAAAAAAAAAATCATGCTTTATCCCCACAGGGGGGTGTTGGTCTAGTGGTTAGAGCAGTGCACTTGTGCTCTGAGAAGTTTGCAAGTTCCCGGTTCAATCCCCACATTCTGGTTCCCTGAGCAAGACCGGGGGCCGCACAATGATGCAGAGGTGAATTTCTCCAGTGTGAGATTAATAAAATTCAATTATTATTGTTATTATTAATAAAGTTAAGGAGTGTTGTAAGAGGATCCATACAATTTGGAGAAGCTCCAGAGGTAGGAGCTCTCCTTAGAGAGTCAGCTTTCTGACTGACATGTTTTATTGGGCAGCCTCAAAAGTAACATGCAAATAATTATCTAATTGTATTGATTAAAACTAATATTGACTTTTTAAATTCCATCATGTTGGTTTTATTTTCAACAAAATTCAGTATCGTCACAATTTCTAATCTATCAAGTCTTGGAAAGTTTTACATAAACAATAAAGATTTGCGTAGAAGTTGGTATCAAGATTCATGATTTACAGAAGTGTTTTTCTGAGCTGGAGTTAGCTGGATTACTATGAAGAGTCTGAGTGAGGATACGTCAGGATTATATCAGATTTCTCCTTAATTCTCTCACTAGTCTGCGGTTGCCCTTACTGACGCAGCTTTCCAACTCTCTGTCATCTCATAACCTCTTTCTTCCAAATGAAAACACCAGTCAACATAACACACCCTCATCTGTGACTGCCGCAAGAAGAGGGGACTTACTGTAAGGCCAAACTATTGCTCATGTTTTGAAGATATAGTAACATTCAGTAAATCAACCTTTCAATGCAGTTTGAATGACCATTTCCCCATTTCACAAATAAAATTATTTTTGTAGAGACCTACACTTATGGGCTGTCTCTGTTATTGATCTAAGTACAGTAGTTAAAGTAATGTCTTTAAACACATGGGAAAAAAAACAAATCATTGCTACCCTGTCTGTTAAAAGAAATCCTCCTAATTGTCATTCTGCTGATATGTTTATGTCAGGCCGTCCTACGTGCTCGTCCCTTTGTTATCTTTTTCTGTGCATGCGCACTTTCAGGCGTATGTGTGATGAGCTACGGTTTCAGACATTCATTGAAGCTCACCTTTCTTACCAAGGTTCTTTGAAAATGGCAGAGGGTCGTAAGAAAAAAAGCATCTACAAAGTATATGAGCACATAAGACGAGGCAGATATACCCCGGAATGCTTTGTGCGGAGAGCTCTCTTCACAAAGCATTATGGGATTTACTGTCACAGCGGGCAGCTGTCGCCATAGGGTGTAGCTACCCGACAGCGGCGACAAATAACAAAGATGGAGCAGACACCGCGTAGTGGAGGGGGAGTTACGTGACCAACGGAGAGCAAAAAGCAGTGATCATCTGTCCGAATGGTCAGTTAACTGAAATTGCTATAAAGTCAACTAAATATTCCCTCTCTATATAGTGATTTAGGGATTTAATGGTTAAGGAGGAGGTAAGGGCACAGTAAGCTTGTATGCGCTATGAGAACAACTTTTAAACAGAGCATTAATGAGGAGAAATGGGCTCTTGCATGCGTTTAATAGGCATTTCCTCTCTTAAGCGGGTACAGAGTTGAGCATGGGGAAGTGCATAGGGTGGATAATTCAAAAAAATTGTGAAAATCCTCCAAAATACCTTTAAATAAAGAGGTTTACATTAATTAGCATCACAGGTGTCTAAAATCTTGTAGACAGTCAGTGGACCTATGAAGGCTACAGGTAGTTACTGCGTTGTTTGGTCACATGGTGTGTACCTCATTCAACATGGACCAGAGAAAGCAAATAATGTCACAGGACATTAGGACGAAAATGATCGACAAGCAATTTTAAGGTAAAGGCTATGAGACCATCTCCAAGCTAAGTTTTGTTCTTGTGACAGAGTTCAGAAATTTAAGATCCATGTGACTGCTGTCAACCTCCCTGCAGTGGTTATAGGAGGAAAATTGATGACAAATCAAAGACATGGATAATACCAATGGTAACAAAAGAGCCCAGAGAAACCTCAAAGGTGGACTTTAAGCTCAAGGAACATCAGAGTCTGATCACAGCATCCATCACTGTATGAGCCAAAGTGAACTTAATGGGAGACAACCAAGGAGGACACCACTGTTGAAAATAAATCATAAGAAAAAAATATACTTGGATTTGCAAAACATGTTGACAGGCCACAAAGCTTCAGGGAGAATTTCTTATGGACTGATGAGACATAAATTCAACTTTTTACTAAGGCAAATCAGCTCTATATTCACAAAAAAACAAAACAAAAAAAAAGAGAATAAAAAGAAGAGAACTTTGTCCTTACTGTGATACATGGAGGAGGCTGTGTTATGTTCTGGGGTTTCTTTGCTTGATCTGACACGGGGTACAATAAAATCTCAAGACTTTTAACGTATTCTAGAGAGAAATGTGCTGCCTAGTGCCAGAAAGCTTAGTCTCAGTCTCAGGTCATGGGGCTTGTAACAGCATAATGACCCAAAACACAGATAAAAAAAACTCAGGAATGGCCAAGAGGAAAATATCGGGCTATTCTGAAGTGAGCTACTGTATGAACCCTGGCCTAAATCCTTTTCATCTTCAAAAGGAGCTGAAACATACGATCTGGAAAGACCAAAATACCTACGGAGATGTCCAAACATCTCTACAGGAATGGTTTGAATGCAGTGATATTAAGCAAACGATACCATCCTTTTTGTCCAAGGCTATTTTAAGTGTATTTTTTCTATTCTATTGAAGCATGGCTGAAAAATGATCTCTGACTGTCATTTGTTAATTTTCATATTTCTTTTATTGGTTATTACTTTTTTCAAATCAAAGTTATTCCTATAACCATCGTTTTTTTCTTTCAACAAAGGCTACCAGGTGTGTATAGCTGTGCTATTATTAGAAAATCCAAACAGCTGAAAACCCTTGCACTGATAATGGAGCAAATTGCTTTTGTATTAAGGTTAGTTTAACATCTGAAGAACTAGCAGAAGGAAATAGATTTCTCTAGACAGTTATCAGTCTGTTGTTGTGCATGAGCATTCTTAAGAGCTCCAATTATGCTGTTCCCTTCACAAAGTGGCACAATCTAACAAAGACAGAAAAAGTATAGGCCTCAATACACAGCCTGCAAAAACACACTTTTTTTAGAGAGTGATTTCAAATAAAGATGCCTCACGGATCCTGAGGTAGCATCTGCAAAAATACACCAGTGTTTTTGACTAACAATAAGGAGCAAATTTCATGTTGCTGGCCTTCATGGCAGGACATGCTATAAGAGGGGGAGAGGGACAAAAGGCACATGTGTAATGGAATGATAGGAAATTCTAATGACAGTCAAAGTTTGAGGTATTTGGATTAAATGGAAGAATATTTATGATATGCTGAACTGAAGATGGAGGAACAGTTCTCAGTACTATCAGTCCAAAAAGTCAGCCTAACAATAACTGTGTCAAGTAGTCCTCAACAGAGTGACGGTTCAGTAGTACTTTGCAAGGGCTAAAATGGCATTTGTAGAGTTGGAAGGTACTTCAAAAAAGGAGGATTGTCAA